ATAATATATACATGAGGAGCTAACATATAATGTGTGTTTATTTAAGTGTTCAATAAGTCTCTTACAATTTATTGGAAACAATAAAATGCAAAAGGAAAGTTATCTATTTTCTATCTAAGTGAGTTGCAACCTAGACAGGTGCCTAGGCAGGTCTAGGAGGGCTAAGCGTGTGCCTAGGTCTAGGCGATGCCTAGGTGCCTAGGCGGTGCCTAGGCGGGCGCCTTAGCAGGTTTTGGAGCCATTTCTTAATTTTCAAACGCCTAGGCATTAATCGAGGCGGTGGCTAGTTGCCTAGCGCCTAGGAGGGACCTAGGCAGGGCTAGGCAATGATTTTTAGAACAGTGAGTTTAATAATTAAACTCTATTAATTTGAATACTGTGTTCAGATTTTTTTATTTTTACAAATTAAAATTTTTTCTTTACTTTTAGATATGGGTACGTTCCAAATTCAAAAAGGTACATTTTAAACTATGAGTACATTATAGATAATAAAAGTGAATAGATTTAACATTAAAAATGGGTATATTTTAGATAATAAAAAATTGGTATACTTTAGATTAAAAAAATTGGTAATTTTTTTTATTTATGAAAATGGGGATATAAATATATGAATAGGTACAAGTAAAAGATTTAAAAAATTATGGGTACAAATAAAAGTTAAAAAGAAAATTATTGGTATAGAATATAGATTAAAAAAAAGAAACAAATTAAAAATGGTTACAAATTAAAAAATGGGTACAAATTATATATACGAAATGTAACGTTTTCAACCATAAATAAATATATTTGAAAAAGGTTATATAATATTTGTAACATCCCACATTGATCAACGGAGAGGGGGTGATGTGCCTTATATGTACATGCTCCTCTCCTTATGGCACAGGGCCTTTTGGGAGCTCATTGGCTTCGGGTTCTATCGGAACTCCAAAGTTAAGCGAGTTTGCGCGAGAGCAATCTTAGGATGGGTGACCCACTGGGAAGTTCTCGTGTGAGTTCCTAGAAACAAAATCGTGAAGACATAGTTGGGGCCCAAAGCGGAAAATATCGTGCTATGGTGGAGTTGGGCCCGGGCTGTGATTGGGCCCAAGCCGGGATGTGACAATATTTAATTGTAAAATAAAAAAATGTAGATTTGTAAATATTTTATTATTAAAATAAGGACGTGGATAGAAAATAAATAAAATTTCAATCAATGAAATAAAATAAAATAAATGAAAACTTAATTTCTCCTTAAAAAAACGAAAACCCACTTAATTGCACTAAATGACTTGGCATTTCATATCAATATGAAGTTTGTAAATGGAGATCTCTAGTAAATTCGGTCTAAAATGATTGTCTCCTTACATATATATATATATATATATATTAATTATTACTATTATTTTTAAGTAAAAATGATTTGAAATCATTTGAAGATTGTAATTTTCAAAAATAAAGGTATTCGTACGCCACGTATACATTTGTACACACCAAATTGGAAATCAAATAACGTGACGTTTACATTATATACATTTCCGCGCAAACGTGAGAGTCTAATAATATAACGTGGATGTTAACCCTAATGCTTTTCAAAACCATCTCATGGCGCGCTCCTTACAAATCATCTTTGTCTCTCTCATCTCTCTCCTCTACGATCTACCTCATCTCATTTTTCTCTTCCCCACACCTCCATTTAAATCAAGAAAGTAAATAAAAAGAAAAGAAACATTATAAATAAAAAGGGTAAAAAATTTCAGTACCTGGACTCTCCAGGTCCACTGAAACTTGCTGGTTGCTTGAGCCCGATGTCGAAGTCTTTCTCTTGTGCGTCTTTCAAACTCGACATGTAGATGTACCTTTCTTCATACTTTTTCATATCAGCCGTGATCCGAGGGAACTACACTACACAGAATAATTAATAATAATAAATCAGTTATTTTAGTCTACTATTTTTTGTTCGAAAAGATAGATCAATTAACAATAATTCAGTAAGAAGACAAGTACATGGCTTACTTGATCAGGGACAACCGATGCTTCTTGTGCTGATTGTATTTTGAGCGAATCAAGCTGCTGTTTTAATTCCCTGTAAAATGCGAGATATCGATTTGTCACCTCAAGTTCTTTCTCATAGAAATCTACTCGTTCAAGGACGAATCTGGTAACACCAAGGCAACCAACTGAAGGATTATTCCTCCAAATATTCCCTTCAAAGAGTATAGTCTCAGCTGCTGCTGGTCTTTGTTCCGGCTCAACTGTAGCTATAATCTTTTCAATGTTGCTCATACCGAACATATGCTGCGCGTTTACAAACTCTACGAACCTGCTGGCCGGGAAGTATGCAGCCAGCTCACAGGTTTGGTTACATTTTCTCCTTTGGTATTTGCAGGCAGCACAAGCTTTAGAATTTGCCATGAGTTCTTTGCTGAGGAAGAGATGAGGGTAGGGATTAAGAAATGCAATTAATCAAATGCTATACGTATATATGTGTATATAGGGGGTATATATACAATTTTGGTTAAGGGTGTTAAATCCAATTGACATTAGGAAATGTGCCTCGTCTGTAAATGCATGTAACGAGGTGTGTTGGAATTGAAAATTCTTGAGTGACTAGTTACGACAACTCAAATCCAAATGGAATAATATTGGTTCTCTTGGATTTTACCCTGATTACTAACAATATACGTTTTTATTCACTAGTGGGGGAGCAGAATTCAAACTATGTTCGTTTTGAATTTTGAAAAGAAAACACTAGACTGAAAACTAGTTGGTATTGTATAATTTATTTCAGTTGATTTGTTATTTAATTTTATGTACACTTTTAAACAAAATTTTAGTAAAAAAATCTTAAAAGAAACCTCTAATTATGATAATAATGTGTTACTATTGTTTACATGCCTATATGGTATGTAATTTGTCACTCCAAACAATTAAATATGCTACTAAAGTTGTTCTTTCTCTATTCTTGAGAATTCTAGCACTACCAAATATGGTTGGTTCTTTGAATTTCTTATGATTCTGCCATTCAATGAAAATAGACTACTTGTACGGTCCAAATTCGATGTTAAATTATCTGGCATGAACTTTCCTTAAATATCTATTTGTACTTATCTTCTAAACATTAAAAAGATGTATCAAGTTTGAGTCCTTGTTATCAATGCCCAACAGAATAAAAACTCCAAAATTTCAAAATGAGGTTAAATATAGATAACTATCTAATTTTTTTGGGTGATTTTAAATTAATCTTTTAAATATTCTTACTAACTACCTAACGTTTTAAAAACTAAACATTCGTTAGATCACCGACGGTAAGTGGTGACTTTGCCAATATTTTTTTTGAAGAAAGTATGATATTCATTAATACGAAAAACACGTACAAAGATAGGATAGGGTGCTAAAATGGGCCTCAGTAAAAACCTTGCCGAGATTTCAACCCGGTCTAAGGGAAAAATAGTGTCCCGCACAAGTAGCTATCTTCACCATAACGTAAATGGTTACACTTGATTGTCTTCTAACAAAGCATCTAAAATAAAATATGGGGGAGATTCAACCCACCTATCTTCACTAGAAACACCCAAACCAGCACTAGCTAGCCTGTGTGCTACTTTGTTTGCTTCCCAATGCACAAAGTTCAACGATGTTCTCTCCGTGCTGCGTAAAACTCCTTTGATGTCGTTAATTATAGGTCCCAATAATGAACAATCATCCTTTGAACGATCCATGGCTACAAGGACAACACTTAAGTCTCCCTCCAAAATGCAATTCGAACTAGCACTTTGAATTCCATTAGGAGTTTTGTTGCTCTTCTAGCCGTAAGCAACTCATCATGTAGGGGTGAATTAACATGGCAAAAATGCCTAGAAACTGCAGCGATAAAAATGCCCACCCAATCACGAATAACCACACCATATCCTCCCCGATGCGACCTTTCATACCACGCTCCATCAAAATTACGCTTCAACCCTCCTGAGCTTGGTTTAGTCCACTGTTGTCGTGTCTGAGCTTTACTTGATGTTTCAGCAATGAATGATGAGGTGGACAAATACTAAAATTAGTCTCTAAATTATCGTATTTGGAGCTCTAATTCCCCAATGTAAGTTTTCTTCACTAACTAGAAGCGAGATTAAAATTATGTTTCTTTTTGAATTTTGAAAAGAAAATACTAGATTGAAATGAAATTGGTATTCAAAATTTTATTCAGCAGATTCATTGTTTAATTTCATATATTGTTAAACAAAAGTTGGTAAGTAAAAGACCAAATTTATTTTGTGGTCCTGTAATGACAATGCAAAGAAATCCTTGTGCTGAAAAAGTTGTTAACAGAGGGTAAACAATATTTTGATTCGTCTGCGGTAGAGTTCATTGAAGAAAGGATTAAAATCTTATGGTAAGTTTCGTTAGCAATTGAGATCCAAACCTAAACTTCGTTAGTCTTCCGTTAAAACAAAGTATATAAATCTCACATGTGAGGTTAAAATTGACCTTTTAATTAAAGTAAGATGGCCAGAACATTTGTTAGTTCTATAATATTTAATTGTAAAATAAAAAATATAGATATGTAAATATTTTATTATTGAAATAAGGACTGTGGATAAAATAATAAATTTCAGTCATTGAAATAAAATAAAAGAAATGAAAACCTCATTTCTCCTTAAAAAAACGAAAACCCACTTAATTGTACTAAATGAGTTGGCATTTCGTATCAATAAGAAGTTTGTAAATGGAGATCTCTTGTAAATTCAGTCTAAATCGATTGTCTCTTTGCATTTTTTTTTAAATTATTACTATTATTTTTAAGTAAAAGTGATTTGAAATCATTTGAAGATTGTAATTTTAAAAGATGAAGTTATTCGCAAGCCAGGTATACATTTGCACACACCAAATTGGAAATCAAATAACGTGACGTTTACGTTATATGCATTCCCGCGCAAGCGTAGGAGTCAAAGAACATAACGTGGATGTTAACCCTAATGCTTTTCAAAGCCATCTCATGGCGCGCTCCTTACAAATCATCTTTGTCTCCCTCATCTCTCTCCTCTACGGTACCTCATCTCCTTTTTCTCTTCCCCACACCTCCGTTTAAATCAAGAAAATAAATAAAAAGAAAAGAATTATAAATAAAAAGGGTAAAAAATTTCAGTATTGCATAAGCCCGATGTCGAAGGCTTTCTCTTGTGGTCTTCCAAACTTGACATGTAGATGTACCTTTCTTCATACTTTTTCATCTCAGCCGTGATCCGAGGAAACTACATCACACAGAATAATTAATAACAATAAATCAGTTATTTTAGTCTACATGTGCTATTTTTTTGTTCGAAAAAGATTAGATTAATTAACAATAATTCAGTAAGAAGATAAGTACACAACAGCAATAAAAATTAAAATCATGGCTTACTTGATCAGGGATGATGCTTCTTGTGCTGATTGTATTTTGAGCGAATTGAGCTGCTGTTTTAATTCCCTGTAAAATGCTAGATATCGATTTGTCACCTCAAGTTCTTTCTCATAGAAATCTACTCGTTCAAGGACGAATCTGGTAACACCAAGGCAACCAACTGAAGGATTATTCCTCCATATATTCCCTTCAAAGAGTATAGTCTCTGCTGCTGCTGGTCTTTGTTCCGGCTCAACTGTAGCTATAATCTTTTCAATGTTGCTCATACCGAACATATGCTGCGCGTTTACAAACTCTACGAACCTGCTGGCCGGGAAGTATGCAGCCAGCTCACAGGTTTGGTTACATTTTCTCCTTTGGTATTTGCAGGCAGCACAAGCTTTAGAATTTGCCATGAGTTCTTTGTTGAGGAAGAGATGAGGGTAGGGATTAAGAAATGCAATTAAACAAATGCTGTACGTATAAATGTGTATATAGGGGGGTATATATACAATTTTGGTTAAGGGTGTTAAATCCAATTGACATTAGGAAATGTGCCTTGTCTGTAAATGCATATAACGGGTTGTGTTGGAATTGAAAATCCTTGAGTGACTAGTTATGACAACTCAAATCCAAGTGGATTAACATTGGTTCTCTTCGATTTTACCCTAATTACTAATAATATACGTTTTTATTCACTAGTGGGGGAGCAGAATTCAAACTATGTTCCGTTTTGAATTTTGAAAAGTAAACACTAGACTGAAAGTATTGTATAATTTATTTCAACCGATTTGTTATTTAATTTTATGTACACGGTTAAACAAAATTTTGGTGAAACAATCTTAAAAGAAACCTCTAATTATGATAATAATATGTTACTATTGTTTACATGCCTATATGGTATGTAATTTGTCACTCCAAACAATAAATATGCTACTAAAGTTGTTCTTTCTATATTCTTGAGAATTCTAGCACTACCAAATATGGTTGGTTCTTTGAATTTCTTATGATTCTGCCAGTCAATGAAAATAGAATGCTTGTACGGTCCAAATTCGATGTTAACTTAGCTGGCATGAACTTTCCTTAAATATCTATTTGTACTTATCTTCTAAACATTAAAAAGAACATTAAAAAGATGTATCAAGTTCGAGTCCTTGTTCTCAATGCCTAATAGAATAAAAACTCCAAAATTTCAAAATGAGGTTAAATATAGATAACTATCTAATTTTTTGGGGAGATTTTAAATTAGTCTTAATCTTTTAAAATATTCTTAATAACTAGCCAACCTTTTAAAAACTAGACATCCGTTAGATCACCAATGGTAAGTGATGACTTTGCCAACATTTTTTTGAAGAAAGTACGATATTCATTAATGCAAAAAACACGTACAAAGATAGGATAGGGTGCTAAAATGGGCCACAGTAAAAACCTTACCAGGATTTCAACCCGGTCTAAGTGAAAAATAGTGTCCCGCACAAGTAGCTATCTTCACTGTAACGTAAATGGTTACACTTGATTGTCTTCTAACAAAACATCTAAAATAAAATCTGGGGGAGATCAACCCACCTATCTTCACTAGAAACACCCAAACCAGCACTAGCTAACATGTGTGCTACTTTGTTTGCTTCCCGATGCACAAAGTTCAACGATGTTCCCTACATGCTGCGTAAAACTCCTTTGATGACGTTAATTATAAGTCCCAATAATGAACAATCATCCTCTGAACGATCCACGGCTGCAAGCACAACACTCGAGTCTCACTCCAAAACCAAATTCGAACTAGCACTTTGAAATTCCATTAGGAGCTCTGCTGCTCTTCTAGCCGCAAGCAGCTCAGCATGTAGTGGTGAATTAACATGGCAAAAATACCCAGAAACTACAACGACAAAACTGCCCATCCAATCACGTATAACCACACCATATCAAAATTACACTTCAACCCTTTCATGCCACATTCCATCAAAATTACACTTCAACCCTCATGAGCTTGGTTTAGTCCATCATTGTCGTGTCTAAGCTTTACTTGATGTTTCAACACTGAATGATGAGGTGGACAAATACTAAAATTAGTCTCTAAATTATCGTATTTAGATCTCTAATTCCTCAATGTAAGTTTTCTTCACTAACTGGAAGCAAGATTAAAATTATGTTTCTTTTTGAATTTTGAAAAGAAATACTAGACTGAAGGGAAATTGGTATTCAAAATTTACTTTCAGCGGATTTATTGTTTAATTTCATATACCGTTAAACAAAAGTTGGTAAGTAAAAGACCAAATTTCTTTTGTGGTCCTGTAATGAAAATGCAAAGAAATCCTTGTGCTGAAGAAGTTGCTAACAGAGGGTAAACAATATTTTGATTCGTCTGCAGTAGAGTCCATTGAAGAAAGGATTAAAATCTTATGGCAAGTTTCGTTAGCAATTAAGATCCAAACCTAAACTTCATTAGTCTTCCGTTAAAACAAAGTATATAAATCTCACATGTGAGGTTAAAATCGACCTTTTAATTAAAGTAAGATGGTCAGAACATTTGTTAGTTCTAGCTAGATTTTAAGTGGATTTTCATTTTAATAACGAAAGACCACTAAGTCAATTGTTTTTTTTTAAATTAAGTACGCTCTTTTTTTTGGGCTCTAGGTCTGTTCTCCTCTTTTGTGTGTCTCCAGTCTCCCTACTAATATTTTGTGAATAACTTGATTGCTGAAAAGGATTATTGATCCATCATGTAATATTATCGTTTTTATCTCAAATGAGTCAATTATGTCAATACAATGAATCTGTCAATTTGCAACACCAAAAAAATGGATGCAAATGTGACCAAAAGTTTGTAGCATTTAGGTAGAATGATTTTTGGTAAATACTGACCAGTCGGTAGTGCATCGGTGCCGAAATTTGAGACTCTGAGTGTCATGCATGTTTTGATACATAGTATTAAAGAATAAAAGTTAAAATCAATTTTAGAGAGATTTCAAAATTTGACTAGATTTTGAAATCTGAAAATTACAATTATTAACAAAATAAATTTCCAATTGAAAATAAAAAATAAAAAAAAAAAAAACAAGAAGAGAAATTGAAATTAAATGTTAAAATTAAAAACGAAACAATTATCCAGCGACATTGAGTTTGATAACTAGCATAAGTACTATTGAGTTTGCCAAATGGGGGGCACCAGCATTGACCGACTCCACACTGAGTAAAACTCATTCTTGATCCAACGGTTGTTTTCCCTTGGCCTTCGACTTCGAGATAGCTCCAGCACTGCATTTCATGGAAAGAAGATCAATTCAAAGTAAATTACCAAAGGGCAAACATTATTTACTTTTATCCGAGGAAGTTTCTTTTATTTTTATTATGAAAATGAATAATTTTTTGTGAGAAGTGGGAGAAAGGTATATGATAGTTCAACTTAAAAAGTGAAATAATTAAGAAGGAGGGGGTTGGGCTTAGTCTCACAATAGGTTAGAAATAAGGCAAATTCAAATCACATTATTGCTAGCCTATTGTGAAGCTAAATCCAACATCTCCCTCTTAGGATAGATAATATTATTTGTAAAATAAAAAAATAAAAAAGAGAACAGCTTCTTACATCACATTTACAAACTATTTCATGCGACATAATGATATGGTATGCAAATTCATTAAGTGCCATTAGGTGAATTTAATTAGGTGTATTCAATTGGGATTTTGAGAATTTTAATTTTTTAATGAATCTAGGGGTATTCAATTAGGATTTTAAAATAGTTAATTAAAATCCTTAGAAATCTGGATGTATTCAATTAGGATGTTAAAGAAGTTTATAACATTTCAAATGTATTCAATTAGAATTTGATTTTAAAGAATTTGAAAAAGTTGAGGAATCAGATGGAATTGGAGAGGTTTCGTAGTGTATTTTAAGCATCCACAAATCTTACATATTTTCATGAAATTTCGAGAGAATTGAATCAAAATTTTGCATGAAATCTCTACAAATTAATTAAACTTCATAAAAATCTATGAATTTATAAATCCATTAAAATCTCTCAAATTCCAATAAAATACACCTCCATAAATCACATTATTGCAAGCTTATTGTGAAGCTAAACCCAATCCCTTCCTCTTAGGGTATATAATATTATTTGTAAAATATAAAAAATAAAAAAGTGAACAGCTTCTTACATCACATTCACAAAATATTTCATGCGACATAATGATATGGTATGCAAAGTCATTAAGTGCGATTAGGTGAATTTAGTTTTTTAACCTCCGAATTAAAACACAGTTAATTACCAAAAAAATTAACCACCTACAACACCACTCCACCAATGACCCCAAGTTTCTCGTCAGCCAAAGTACCCTAAGCCACCGAAGCTCCCCCGACCCACTCTAACCTACCCCATCAGCATCCCCACTCCACCATCGGGCCGGCAACTCCTCCGTCGGCAAATGCCCTCCTCTCTCTCTCTACCAGATGCTCAAAATCCATCTCACGAAACATCAAGTCCCATTAACAATACCAGAATGCACACTCATTTTACAATACTGGAATGCGAGAGATCTTCGTAACTCTAAGCCTCGCGCTCATAAATCAATAATAAGCAAATGCAAAATGAGTCCGACAACAACGAGAAAGTCATGGGAGGGGTGGGGTGGTTGTTAGTAGAGAGTAAGGTTTATAAAATTAAAATGCTGACATGTAAATATTTTATTATTGGAATAATTACGTGGATAAAACCAAACGGTCTTGATCAAAAATTTAAAAAAAATTCAATCAATGAAATAAAAGGAAAGGGACGAGAATCAAATTTCTCCTTAAAAAAATGAAAACTCACTTAATTGCATTAAATGACTTGGCATTTCATCTCATTGTCCACATAAGAGGTTTGTAAATGGAGATCTCTTGTAAATTTGGTAAAAAAGATTTGTCCATATACTTGTTTTAAAAGAATTTATTATCATTATTTTTCAAGTAAAAGTGATTTGAAGTTTGAGCTTTTAAAGGACAAAGTTATTCGCACGCCACGTATACATTCATACACATCAAAATGGAAATCAAATAACATGACATTTACGTTATATGCATCCCCGCAAAAGTATGAGAGTCAAATAACATAACGTGGATGTTAACCCTAATGCTTTTCAAAAACCAACTCATGGCGCGCTTCTTACAAATTATCTTCGTCTCCCCCATCACTCTTCCCTAGCGATCTACCTCATCTCCTTTTGTCTCTTCCCCACACCTCCGTTTAAATCAAGAATATAAATAAAAAGAAAAGGAACATTACAAATAAAAAAGGTAAAAAATTTCAGTACCTGGACTCTCCAGGTCCACTGAAACTTGCTGGTTGCATGAGCCCGATGACGAAGGCTTTCTCTTGTGCGTCTTCCAAACTCGACATGTAGATGTACCCTTCTTCATACTTTTTCATCTCAGCCGTGATCCGAGGGAACTACATTACACAAAATAAATAGTAAGAATAAATCAGCTATTTTATTTTAGTCTACATATGTTGTTTTTGTCCGAAAAAGATAGATCAATTAACAATCATTCAGTAAGAAGATAAGTAGACAGCAAGAATAAAAATTAAAATCATGGCTTACTTGATCAGGGACGACCGGTGCTTCTCGTGCTGATTGTATTTTGAGCGAATCAAGCTGCTGTTTTAATTCCCTGTAAAATGCTAGATATAGATTTGTCATCTCAAGTTCTTTCTTGTGGAAATCTACTTGTTCGCGGAGGAATCTGGTAACACCAAGGCAACCAACAGAAGGATTATTCCTCCATATATTCCCTTCAAAGAGTATAGTCTCAGCCGCTGCTGGTCTTTGATCCGGCTCGACCGTAGCCAGAATCTTTTCAATGTTGCTCATACCGAACGTATGCTGCGCATTTACAAACTCTACAAACCTGCTGGCCGGGAAGTATGAGGCCAATTCACAGGTTTGGGTACATTTTCTCCTTTGGTATTTGCAGGCAGCACAAGCTTTAGAATTTGCCATGAGTTCTTTGCTGAGGAAGAGATGAGGGTAGGGATTAAGAAATGCAATTAAACAAATGCTGTATGTATATATGTGTAAATAGGGTGTATATATACAATTTTGGTTAAGGGTGTGAAAGCCAATTGGCATTAGGAAATGTGCCTCGTCTATAAAAGCATGTGACGGTTGTGTTGGAATTGAAAATCTTTGAGTGACTAGTTATGACAACTCAAATCCAAGTGGATTAATATTGGCTCATTTTACCATGATTACTAATAATATACGTTTTTATTCACTAGTGGGGAAACAAAATTCAAACTATGTTCCGTTTTGAATTTTGAAAAGAAAATATTAGACTGGAAGCTAGTTGGTATTGTATGATTTATTTCAGCCAATTTGGTATTTAATTTTATGTACACGGTTAAACAAAATTTTAGTAAAAAATCTTAAAAGAAACCTCTAATTATGATAATAATATGTTATTATTGTTTACATGCCTATATGGTATGTAATTTGTCACTCCAAACGATGAAATATGCTACTAAATTTGTTCTTTCTCTATTCTTGAGAATGCTAGCACTACCAAATATGGTTGGTTATTTGAATTTGTTATGATTCTGTCAGTCAATGAAAATAGAATTTGCTTGTACGGTCCAAATTCGATGTTAACTTATGTCGCATGCACTTTCCTTAAATATCTAATTGTACTTATCTTCTAAACATTAAAAGATGTAAGTTTCCCCAAAAATTAAAATTAAAATTAAAAAATAAAACGTTAAAAGATGTATTAAGTTCGAGTCCTCATTCTCAAGGCCTAAAAAAATAGGAGTAATGATATTCATGCCATGTTTTTATACCATATTTTTATATCACCTTAGGTGGCATCTGTCGTGGACAACCATATCATTTGAAAAATTTGCAAAACCAAGGAAAGGAAGAAGAAAGACTCCTCGTATACCACAATCATCATTTAATTAACTAGTTTTTCCTAATTATTAGTTTATTAAATAATGAACTAAATTTAAAAATCTGATTAATTCAAATGATGTGGATGTCCACATCAAATGCCACCTAAGGTGGTATGAAAATGTGGTACAAAAACATGATATGAACAACATTACTCATAGAATAAACACTCCAAAATTCAAAACGAGGTTAAATATAGATAACTATCTAACCTTTTTGGGGTGATTTCAAATTAGCCTTAACCTTTTAAAACATTCTAAATAACTACCTAACGTTTTAAAAATTAGACATCTGTTAAATCACCGATGAAACGATAAGTGATGACTTTGCCAACATTAAGAGATCATGTTTCAGCATTGAATGATGAGGTGGACAAATACTAAAATTTGTCTCTACTAATTGTCGTATTAGGAGCTCTAATTTCCCAATATATGTTTTCTTCACTAACTGGAAGCAAGATTAAAATTATGATCATTTTTGAATTTTGAAAAGAAAATACTGGACTGAAAGGAAATTGGTATTCAAAATTTACTTCAACGGATTCATTGTTTAATTTCATATATCGTTAACAAAAGGTGGTAAGTAAAAGACCAAATTTCTTTTGTGGTCCCTGTAATGAAACCCTCGTGTTGAAAAAATTGTTAATAGAAGGCAAACAATACTTTGATTCGTCTGCGGTAGGTTCTACTAAAGAAAGGATTAAAAACTTGGGGTAAACTTCGTTAGCAATTACGATCCAAACCTAAACTTCGTTAGTCTTCCATTAAAACAAATACATAAATCTCACATGTGAGGTTAAAATCAACCTTTTAATTAAACTAAGATGGCGAGAACATTTGATTTGGTGGTGTTTGCTTGTTCGTTGCCTACAGAATTACTTGGAGGCTAAGTCCTCTCCACCGAGCCAGTTGAAGATTTGATCATAAAAACAATGGGGACGCAAAAAGTGTGGGAACGATGGTGATTTGCTCTTGGAAGAGTACAATGAGATTGTTTGGATTAATATTTGAATATTGGACTGCAAATGTGTGGAAGCCCAAAGATACCAATTAAAGGTTGACTTGCCCAAGGCCCAAGCATCAAACCCAGAGACAAATTGGCGCCTTCCCATTAATGCATAGGCTATGTGCCTATGATTTAAATGTCAAGTGATGGAGACTAACTCACAATCAGCCAAAAATCACTTTTCAGTGGCAATACAAGTAAAAAGCTGATGACTCACTACCCTCCAAGTTGTTTTTAGGCAAAAGCAAAGTCACTGCAGTCGAGCTAATATGCTTATCAAAGGAGGAAGAGGCCCCAGAGACACTCAACCAATCAAACCAACAAACATACAAACTCTGCTCTCAAGCCATATTTGCATCTAAAAGCTGTAATCAGCCCAGATTTTAGTCATTTTCAGGATATCTCCTTCACAAAAGTTATCTTTTGTCTTGTTTAGAAGCTCTGCTATCACCCCAAGTGGCGCATTATCGATTCCCTTGTGTAAACTGGTTTACCATCCATCCCTTTTTAGTATAGAAACCTCTGTAAACTCAAAGAGAAGTGATTGTAAGAAGTTCGACCTTGCCCAACAAGGTAAAATCTTGCTTAAAGTTCTTTGTGTGTTTTCAAAGATAATAGATCTACTGCTTAATGTATTCTTCAGCATGTATTCAAGTCATATCCATTTGTTTTCCTACTTTAAGAGTCTCATTTGCATCTAGATCTGGCCAATTTAATGGACATGCTTTCATTTAAAACCAATCAAGAGCCAAACAAATGACTTAAGGGATCTGGACTCCCCTCATTCGAATATACAAGACTATGAACTGAAAGTCTTTGTTCTCAAGGTAAGAAAAAGAACTTAATGCGGACTTAACTCATCCACGACAATCCTTGGATAACAAGAAGTCTAAGTAACTTGGGGCGCAAGAAATCGACTAAACACGATCTTGTTCTACATCTGCTATACTGAGATAGTAGTGGCACGCCTAGCATTTAGTTAGTTTTGATTGCGAGCCTCAAGGCCTACATCTAAGGCCCCACAAAGGCACATTTCCGAACTAACTCTATCCTCTTCTTGCAGCACATCAACAAGCAAGAGCCCGACTACACATCCAAAGTGTCAATCCCTTGTGAGCTGTGCTGAGAATCGAGGAGCCCTCTCCGGAGAAATCTTCGCCCGAACAGAGATTATGATCAATGATGTTACTAAATTAATTATGATAAAATGTGGAGTAATTATTTATTTGTGGACTATCAAGTTTGTAACCTGATGAGCTATAGTTGTGATATATCGAATTTGACTTCGATGTTGACTTTCTACCATCGAAAAACTATTGGTGACCGTTGTTGCCTAAAAAATTGTTAAAAATCAAGTTAACTTATCCACGTGAGACAGATTCTGTGTTTTTTTTTTTTTTTTTAAACGGAAAACTAAAGGAGATTTATATTTGAACCTCAATTGTGACAGACTCATCATAGAAGCTTAACTAATATTTTATTTATTTATTTTTTACCACAAGTCTCATATTAAAAATATAGTATCACCATAAGGACCACGAAAAATTTAGAAAACAAAAAAAAAAAAAAGCTTCAAATTATGACATTAATATGGTACTATGGTTTGCATGCCCTACATGGTATATAATTTGTCACTTCAAACAATTACATATGCTAGTAAAATTGTTCTTTTCATTCTTGTTTGGGTATTTCTACCCTTTCTAGTATTACCAACAATATTTGCGTACTTTCCATAATAATAAAAAAAAAAAAAAATTGGGTACTTTGAATTTGTTATGATTCTACCTGTAAATAAAGGTATAACTGGTTTTAGAGTCGAAATTTGATGTTCTCTCATCTGGTGCGCGTTTTTCTTGAATGCCTAGTTGTGCTTATGTGCGTTGAAAATTGTGTCAAGTTCAAATCTTCATTTTCGTCTTTGAAACAAAAAGAAGTAAAAACTTCAAAATTTAAAAGAAAAACTGCTGTTGGCATTACAAAATTTTCATTGTGTATTATAAATTTTCTGTATTTAAAAAAAAAAATACACTTATTACAACTGCATTGAGATTTTTTTGGAATGTCAATATCAGTACTTATTAAAATATGTATTAATTATTTCAAGTATGTGGGTTTACTGGGCCCAAGAAACTTATAAACTCATAACAGAATGGGCCCCAATCAATAAGACTAACCGCTTTTCGGCCATCAGCATCTGACACCTGTAATCCAACAATCCCGATAATCTCATCGTCATCATCAGCTGCAATACACCGTCATCAGTTCACCAATTTGCGTAACCTAAACGCAGCGTTTTGACTTTCCCAATTACAGGGCGAGGGTTAGAGAGAGAGAGGAGCTTGAGGCTGAGCTCTGATGGCGGGGAAGCCCCAACCGGTTCGCGTACTGTACTGCGCGGTGTGCAGTTTGCCTGCAGAGTACTGTGAATTCGGACCTGATTTCGAGAAATGCAAGCCATGGTTGATCCAAAACGCCCCGGACCTTTACCCGGATCTCGTTAAAGGTTCAATCTTTCTCCCGAACCATAGTTTATTTTTAATCAAATTTAAGTAAAGTTAAATTTTTTTATGATCACTCTGTTTTGTTTGATTTATTTGCTATCTTAACGAAAAAGTTTTAATTGTTTGTATTAATTTTATTTGTGCAGAGGCTAATGCTAAGGAAACTGATAAAGTAGCCAACCAGTTGCAGTCCACTGGTATTTCTTCTGGAGGTGGTGATGGAGCTGCTTCTTCAGGTAATCCTATAAATATGTATATGTTGTGTGTGTGTATTTACGTATTTATTTGAACATTGTTAATTTTTCTGGTCTGGATTGGATGAATTATGAGTGTGGATACTGAGCATATGTGTTTCGTGTGTGGAGATATGGAATGCGTAAACATGTGTTGTTGTTGTGTGTTTGTTTGTGCTGCTAATGAGATGAAATGGGATGTTAATTGTGTTATATTTTTTTCGGCTTTAATTTTATTTGGAAAGATTGTTTTCCGCTTTGCGAATTCAAATTGTAACGACTTTCTTCACTCCCTGCCCTCTGTATTTGGCTTGACGGTGGCACTTCAGCACCTAAAGAAGAAGTCAAGCGTCTTCCAGGCGGGAAGATTAAGAAAAAGGTGAGACTTCTGAAAGTGTTTTTCTCTATCCAATAGGTGTAACCCTTTGTAAACAAGCTCTCTAGGTGAACTAGTTGCATAACAGTATTTGTTGTGAGACCCTTTAGATTAAAATTTCTAAACTTGGTATTGGGTTTTTCTTTAGGAGAAGCAAGAAGTTACGATTGAAAAGGTCACACGTAATAAGCGAAAATGTATCACCACTGTGAAAGGACTGGAGCTTTTTGGTGAGCGATCTGCTGCTATACATCCTTTGTCTTTCTATTTGGATATCCTTATTTTGTTTCTACCATAATTAACTTGGTTTCTTTAATTACAATTCAGGTGTCAAACTTAGTGACGCTTCAAAGAAATTGGGTAAAAAGTTTGCTACGGGAGCCTCTGTTGTTAAGGTATGATAGATATTAAGAAATAGTTTTTGAAATCTGGTCTGTCATCTGTTATTATGGTTTGTTATAATTATTTTGAATGGTTGGTTGCAGGGGCCAACTGAGAAGGATCAAATTGACGTTCAAGGAGATATAGCCTATGACATTGTGGAGTTCATTACGGATACTTGGCCTGATGTAAGCTGCTTCGCTTACTGTTTCTCTTTCCTCCATATGTGTTTTCACCTTTTGTTCAAAACAGAAGTTCTTAGTTCCAGTAAAAACATTAACCTCTTTAACGCTTTGTATATGAATGAATTAGACCAAAGAGGAGTTACTATATTATATGAATGAGGATCGCAATATATGGTATAAATTGAAATGTTATCTGAGGAAGAAGAATTGAAATGTGGTGAGGAAGTTGTGAAATTTAAAACTAAATATTGGTACATGTAAACAGTTAGCTAAATTTTGGCTTTGGGAAGTATGTACCATGTAGTGTCAAATTTTTATGTCGTCATTTTGATTTTAACACTTCATGTCCTTGGGTGATTGCATGGGGTAGCACCATGCTTAGGAATTTTTTTTAGTGATCAAAAAGTCAGGGCATCAAGGATTATCCGTTTATGCTTGTTTTTCTTTTTCTTTCTATTTTTGTACGAAGGGAGGTATTTAATATGCCATAGAAGGCCGAAGGCCTTTGCTTTAACCTTCAAATCTTCAAATATGTTCATGTAGAGATCCGTGTTCAACCTGAATAGAAAATCTTAATATCAACTTTTGTCTAATTTTTCGTTTCATTTTTCTTTCTATTGAATGGTAATTTTTCAGTTTTAATTGTTTTACAGAATGGTCAAATGGTAAGGCTGGGTTGTATTTAGCATCACCAAAAACTTTAATGAATGTTGAAACTGGAGTGTTAACGCCAGTGAAGACGTATTCGTAATTTTGATTGGCATGAATTGAAAATGTACTTTAATTTATACCGAAAAGCCAAAAGCATACATGTATCTGAAGAAACCATATGAGTTGATTATGCATTATTGCCCCCTCGTCCCCCTTTTAGCCATGTTTTGGTAATCTTGTGTTTTCGACTTTATACATGCTTAGTTTAAAGTATCTAAAATTTTTCTTTTCCTCCTTAGGTCCCAGAAGCTGCAATTTTCTTTATTGAAGATGGCAGAAAGGTCCCTGCTGCTTGAACAGTATCTGTGGCACACAAATAAGACTGGAGCATGGTATCTTTCTCCTGTTGGTGCGAGCTTTAACTCGATTCAGTGTGCTATCAAAGTAAAGGACCAGTGAACATACTCCTTAAAGTTCCAAGAGTCCGATTGCCAGTGAGATGTTTGCCCCTCTCGAGTCTCTAGTTATCTTGGTTGCAAGAATTTTACATTTTTTGCAGTTAAATTGTATTTCGAGATCTGTATTTTGCTTTGTAGGGGTAATGGTATATGCCACTTGCTCTGTTCTTGTGTGTCACATATTACCTAAGGTTGATCCTCATGTTGCAGACCTAGCTGCTGCTTCCTGTAATCTTTAGCTTCCGTGAGTTAACAAATTAGAAACATATTCAAAATTTTGGTTTACGAATTATCGTTTACATTTTATATTCTAGCAGTGAATTTGCAATTTTTCCTCAATGCTACTATGTAGGATTGAGTGACACAGAAAATTAATGGTTGAGATTGAAAATAAAAGATCTCACAATTGTGGAAATCAAAGTTATCGGCTAAAACACATGTAGCGCTAAGTGCTACTTATGATTGAAATCACGCCCGTGAATTTTCCAAGACCTTGAAGGCCTTTCTAGATGTACACGAGCAATATTGCGCAAAGGGGAAATCAATTGGGGACCCTCAGATGCAAATGATGAATGTTCTTAACCAACTGAGTTATAGTCCATAACCTTTTGCCCTCTTGCCTCGAGACCTTTTCAGCCTAAACAGGGTGCAAACTTTTTAGATTGAAAACCTTAATGATGCAGCCAACTGTGTTCCCCAAGCAGGAAATCCTTGTCTTTGCCAGCCTAGATCTGGTTGTCAGGCCGTTTTGTACTCCATGTCCTTTTGGGTTAAATGTTTCATCGAACATTATTATAAACAAACAATATTATAACCATGTCAAAGATTGCAATTGTCACCGCCCAAAGAGAAGCGTATCTAAAATTGGATTTGTTGGCGGGTTAAGCATAGTGAAGAAGGGTTTAAACGGAGTAAAATTTTTCGTATCCCAAGAGTGGATTAATATAATATAAACCCACTTGCTTCTTTCATTCCAAAAAAAATTAAAAAAGGTTGAAGTGAATGTTGTATAACCATTTCATCTATAGTTTTTCGTATTCAGTTTTTGCCCTATAGATTGAGGAAAAGTATAAGGGATAAAAAAAGAAGACGAAGAAGAAGGGTCGAGAGAGGGTGGCGGGAGAGGGAAGAATAAGGAAAAAAGTACAAAACCAAAACACGAAAACAAAAAAAACTTAGTAACCATTTCAGTTTTTTCAGTTTTTTACTAAAAATATCTTGTTTGGTAACATATGGAAACAGAATAAAACCTGAAAACAAAATGATTATCAAACGGCCTCTTAATATCTCGTATCTCATTTCTCATATCTAACATTTCATATACATTTATTTCAAATCCCTCTTACCATCTTTCTTTCCACCTCTTCTTCACATCTCACTTCTCTCATGTATTTTCGCCTCTCTTTCACAAAAAATTAAAAATTAAAACTAAAAACTAAAAACGAAATAATTATCAAATGAGCCAAAAATTGATTTAAAAACTGAAATTCCGAACTAAATAATTATAAACACCCAGACCAAACAAAAGATGTAATAAAGTGGGAAAAGGATATACACAAAGAACATATTATTTTGAGTCCCATTTTATTATCAGATGAAAAAAAGCAAAGAAATATGAGGAAATAAAAAATGTTGCAACTATGCATATAATCATGAGAATCCATGATCCGTCGATGTATCTGCATACTTGTTAAAAGAATGTTTGTACAGACCATCCTTAGCAATTTGAAAATTAATTTATCATATAACAAAAGTAATTAACTCAATTTTCGTATCTATTCAACCGACAATTTGTAGAAAATAGATAAGTTAAATTTAAGATATTCAAGGTCTTATATAATCTTTGCTTAAATTTGCAAAAGCGTGTTTACTGATTTGATGAAGTCGTCTTCTTCTTGCGTACATTTGGAAAAGCCTGTACATATACAACTTGGCCGGCCACTAAACGACGTTAATTAACGCAGTCCATGCTCTACTATCCCACATTAATAAATTTTGTTTAAGTAATTTCTCCTCTGTATATAATGCAACTTAATTTACTCCTACATATCGACACACTTCTCTTCTCCTCTCATTTCACCACAAAAAAAATGGCTGAGAATTTCGCAGTTCCAAAATACTTGACAACCATGAGTTTAATCCTAGGGTTTATGGAGTTATTCACAACCGGGACAAGTATACTCCTACCCGCACTCGGGGATATCTCCGGCTCCCTTCGAAATGATACCGAATCCATCAATTCAACCTCAACAGATTATGGCCATATAGTTTATCAATACGCATCTGCAGTTCTTAATCCAACGTCGCCAAATGACATCGCAAGTTTAATCCTATCCGCAAACAACAATTCTGCGCCTTTCAGTGTAGCTGCTAGGGGCCAGGGCCATTCTGTTCGTGGACAGGCCCTGACCTCTGATGGCGTTGTCATAAACATGACAGCTTTGATCAGTAATGGGTCTAGAATTGTAGTCTCTGAGAGCCCTTCTTTGGGTTCTTATGCTGATGTTGGAGGTGAGCAGCGTTGGATCGATGTGTTGCATGCTACACTCGACCGTGGTCTTACTCCAGTTTCATGGACTGACTACCTCTACCTCAGCGTTGGTGGCACGCTCAGTAACGCCGGAATCAGCGGGCAAACGTTTCGTTATGGACCTCAAATCAACAATGTCTATGAACTCGATGTTGTAACAGGTATGAGGACTCTCTTACAACTCAGTACTACTCTATCATATTGTGTTATCTCATTGACCTTCTTTCCATTTTCTTTCTGTCCTTATTTTTGTGACACATTCTAGTTCTATATGTATTCAATGAATTTGAAATATTCATGTGGCTCTTTCACTTAAAAGTCCAAACAACTACTTTTGCATTGTATTGCATGCATATTCACTGGAAATGAATGCACCTCAGCAAGCGTTGCAAAATATTGGACCGCACTCATTAACTTACAAATTTATTAATTTTTCCTATTTATTATTAGGGTTTGTCCTCAGTAGTTGGCACTCCCAAAATGTTATTTTTCATTCTTTGTATATAAATTTTTTTCTTGTATTTTTATAAATTTGAAGTACACATTTTCAGAGTGCCAACAATTGTTACACATGTGTGTGAAAACTACCGAACTTTCTCAAATCTTTCAAATCAAGCTCATGGTCTGGTAATGAAAGTGAGAACTCGAACTTATTCTTGATTATTTAGATTGGCTTTAAAGTATGAATAATATATATATATATATGGCTTTTTAGCCAAAATGGTCCCTGAGATTTGTATAACTCCTCAATTTGAACCCTGAGATTTTAAATCATTAGAATTGGTCATTGAGTTTGTCCACATCAATCATTTTGGTTATTCCGAGAAAAATCTCTATTAAATAAGAACACAATGACCAAAATATCCTTAATTTTTGTCAAATCATTTTGGCCCATTATTTATTAAATTGAGGGTTTATTTGTCATTTTGATCCTTATGTAACATAAATTACATAATTTTGCACAGAATGACCAAAATGATTGATGGTGGACAATTTTAGGGACCACTTCTATTGATTTTAAATATCAAGGACTAAAGTAATGTGTTATGCACTCTCAGAGACCATTTTGGCTAAAAAGCCTATATATTTTTGGTAGAGCGATATATCATTAGTGGGTTGGATAGTTAATTACTAAGGAGAAAAGTAGGGCGTGTAAACATGATGCCATTGTGTTAAAGCGCCATTTTCTTAAAGTGTGGATATAGAACAAGAATGAAGTTTACATATTCATTTAAAGTATTCCACCAAGTCAATTGGTGCTTTAAAATATTTATTTGTATCGATATATGATTGCATTGTTACTAAAGTGATATTCTATAAGTAGGTGCTTTATTGTAGTGGTGGAAAGTTATAATTTTATGCATACGGTTGCGAATTTGATTCTCACTGATCTCTCTCTCCTCAAACATTTAACGCTTCATACTGCTATTGTTTGTCAAAAAAATTATCTTACATAAAACAAAAATAAATTTCATTAAGGGTAACGCTTGCATGTAAACATTAGCCCCTTACACATAAATTTAATTGGTTGTTTATCAGGCACTTATGAATTTTATTTTATTTTATTCAGGGAAGGGGGAATTAGTTACATGCTCCTCAAACAAGGTGCCAGGGCTATTTTATGCTGTTCTCGGAGGCTTAGGGCCAATTTGGTATAATAACCAGAGCAAGGATTCCCCTAGAGCCAGCTCCGAAGAGGGTATGAACAAAAATATACCTCTGCTCCTCAGAGTACAATATCGTTGTAACAAAATATATACTATATTTTTCTTGAACTATGATTTGATTAAATAAGTTCTACACTACTTCTCTGCAGGCTAAATGGGTTCGAATGATGTACAGCAACTTCTCTGCATTTTCAAAAGATCAAGAACGTTTAATGGCAAACAACGGATTCGATTATTTAGAAGGTTTCCTTCTAATGAAGCAGGGTCCTCTAGACCTTTCCTTTTACCCATTACTCGATCAACCAAGAATAACAGCTTTAATAAATCAATACGGCATCATCTACTACATAGAAGCAGCTAAATATTATGATGATAGCACTCGAACAACAGTGGACAAGGTACACCATTTTTCTACTATTTTTTTATATTTATTATATGACTAATATTGAAGGTAATTAAGAGAGTTAGTACCATTTTAAATTACTTTTCCTTGTATATATAGGTAGTTGAAAAATTGATCAACGGGTTAAGCTTCGTTCCGGGATTTTTATTCAATCAAGATGTATTGTACATAGATTTTCTGGATAGAGTGCACACTGAAGAGGAAAAACTTCGATCACTTGGACTATGGGATATTGCTCATCCATGGCTGAATATCTTTGTACCAAAATCACGAATTTTGGACATTGATTCGGGTGTTTTCAGGAACATTCTTCTCAAACAAAATGTTCCTACGGCAGTGACCCTCATTTACCCCATGAACCGAAAAAAGTGAGTTTTCCGTGAGCATAATTAATAGTACTTGTGTTAAATATGTGCGCTTTCTATACAGCTCTAGCCTCTAGTGATAGAATACTTACTATTCTTGGAAGGAGTTTGACTCTTACTGCATCCCGCCCCTTTCCTTGAACCAAAAGAATTAGGGTTTCTGTTTTATTTTTGGTAATCTAATGAACGAATTTTGTATTAAATAATGTTGCAGGTGGGACGGTAGGATGTCTGCAGTTATTCCAGATGAAGATGTTTTCTATGTTGTAGGGCTCTTGCATGCAAGCGGATTCAATGACTGGCAGGCATTTGATGAAGTAAACAGACAAATACTGCAATTTTGTAATGATGCTGGCATTCTGGTTAAGCAGTACCTTCCCCACTATGAAACACAGGAGGATTGGAAAACCCATTTCGGAACAAAGTGGCAAAGTTTCCAAGACAGGAAAGTTAGGTTTGATCCAAACAAGATATTAGCACCAGGACAAAGGATTTTCAGTGTTTTGTAATTAAGCATTGTATGTTTAAAGTAGTAGCAGTTGGAAGTAGCTGGGAACTTAAAAATAATATACAATGTTTAGTAACTTTTTACATGTCATAAATTGTCCCCAAAAGTTTGAAATCTAAGAATGTGAAATCCGAATTATCCTAAGAAATGTGAAATTAATCTAAATGTTAACCCATTCATTCAAGAAGTGTGAAATTAATCTAAATGTTAACCCATTCATTCAGAACTTTATTAATATAGAAACTTAATTGAAATTATTAATTAGTTCTAAACAGCCACTTAGTACTACGGTCTAATAGTATTCCTCTTCACTGGTAAGTGAGAGATCTTGGGTTCGATTCTCGCTAAAGGAAAATTTTAATGTATTTTTTATTCTGAAAAAAAAAAAAAAAAAACTAGTTCTAAACATTATATATATATATATATATATATATATATATATATGCGCTAGATTAGGTTTTCAACCCATCATGGAAAAAGACCTAATTATCTCAACACTAGTTAAAAAAAACTAGTTCTAAACATTACATATATCTGCTAGATTAGCTTTTGAACCCATCATGGAAAAAAACCTAATTCTCTCAACACTAGTTAAAAAACTAGTTCTAAACATTATGTATATCTGCTAGATTAGCTTTTCAACCCATCATGGAAAAAAACCTAATTATCTCAACACTAGTTAATTTAGTTCCAGGACCGGCCCTGAGAATTTGGGAGTCCTAGGCAAGACTTAGACTTGACGTGAGGCGCTAGAGTTTTCTGAGTCCCAACTTTTTGTGTATTGATATGCAGAAAAAAAAATTCCCTAAATACATGAAAAAGTCTATTTCTATATCAATATCATTAAAAATTAATATTAAAATAAAGAAAGATATACAAACATTACTTAAATATTACACGTCTCACGTTTTTCAATGCAGATGTACTAATTAAGTTTACATAATCTAATTTTTCAACAAATTCTTTTCAATTGCCTATGATTTTATTTTTGATATTTTTATTGGATTTGAACTGTAAAAATTTATATAATATATATTATTATATATTTTACAAAAAATTTGAGAGCCTTCCTAAGTGAGGGCCCTAGGCGGATGCCTACTTCAACTACCCTCAGGCTCAGGGCAGGCCTTGTTTTCAGAATTTCGAAAACGAACGGAAAGAGTAGAGTCCATAATTAATAAATTTAAAAAAACAAAGTTTGGATGTGATTTAATTGAATAATCAAAAGCAGAAGCAACAAGAAATCCTATGTGGGACTGAAGGAGTGATCACTCTTGCATGATTTGGACAAGACATTGAGAGGGAGACTAGTTTGGATTTTGTGGGAGATTGCATTTACATGCGAAATATATGGACCAAGTCACAAGACTAGTGTATATTGCTTGCAAATTCTGCTAATATCACTTAATATTTGCGTGTTTGCTTATTACTTCTTAATTTGATTCTATGATTCCACGATTCTATCCACATTCCACCATAATACATATATTGTGTATCATGAAATTTGATTCTTCCAAAAATTTTGTTTCTTTAGTGTGAATGAATGGAATTTGTATTCTGAAAAGAATTTAATTATGATGTTTATTGCACCAAAGTCTCTGTCCACTTCCTTTATTTGGACGAACAAAAGTTTTATTCGGCATCCAAAAAAGTGAACCTCGAAGAGGTGCGTGCATGTCATCCCAATTGGGATTGTGGCGATTTGTGTTATACAAGAGTTCTAGATGTCTTGAATTTTTTTTATTTCTTTTTATTTTTTTTAGCAAATGATATTATCTATACTAAGGGAAAGAGAGTTATAATGAGTTAGCAATAATGTGGTTTAAATTTGTTTTTGGTGATAATCGAACCTAATATCTCTCACTTACAAGTGAAGAGAAATACTAAGTGCCTTGACTGTTGGTTATGATACAGCCCAGGCTGTTTAGGAGTGCTTGCAGTAGCATTTTTCCCAAAGCTCCGTTGTTTCAGCAAACTTTCTTTTTCAGTTGCTCAATCTCCACAAGGGTTCTCGCACTGTGTCATAATACATTCGCTATGCCAAGGCGCTTTCGGATGGACTTGCTACCATTGGACATAAAGTCGACAATGATGATCTTGTCATCACAATCCTACATGAACTTGGTCCATATTAGTTGTTGAAATCAAATTCGTGCGCATCCACACACGGAAACGAAATCTAGTCGAAATTGCACATGACCTCCGACGAGGGAAAAATAAGGTTGACTTTGGGGGGGGAGGAGGGGGGTGGTTGAATGTGAAAAGGAATGCCTACATATCTTCGGGAAGGAGAATCAACCTATGGGTATAGTTCTAAGAAAGAATGATGTGATGTGCAATACGTCGTGAACAGTCCTTTCATTGATTGATCCCCTTGGTAAATGCCCAACCTAGGGTATTTTATAGAGATTTTCAGAGTCCTTGTACAGAAAGTAACCTCAATTCATTTCGGGAGATTATCTGGGAGAGAATATAGGATATGATATCCAATTCTCCTAGGATTATGATTACATTGCCTTATCCCCACCAAGAGAGCAACAAAACCACTTCTCAGGTGAAGACCAGTGAGCATACCGACAAATGCCAACATATGTCGAGTAAGCCTATCGATAGATGCCCATAGCAATGCATACAAAACAATTAAGCTAGTAGCTATCTCGTCCAGTGCTCATTGAGGCAATTTGTCAAGCAGTTGAAGGGCAATTTTTAAGGTATCTCAGATTTTTAAAGGGCAGCATCCATCTCTTTTATAAAGGATTTCAAAGCTTATAAAGGGTCAGTTGATCCAACATATCCAAGGTAGGTCCGCCCCTGTATATATACGATCAAATCAATGTATGAAGCAAGTCTTTCACAAATAGTTCGACTCTCTGCTACATTTCCTTATCTGTTGCTGCATACATTTCCACATCTTGCTAGTCTGCAAACACAGATCATCATATGCTTTGTTGTTGCAATAATCTTTAGAGAATATATAATTCTTACAGATTGCACGAAATGATCATGCTCCATCTTTATATATCAAGATCAAATTCACACTACTTTATTGCTAAAAGAGAATATGTTTCCTAATTATCATATACTGCCAAAAACCCATTAGACCACTCCAATATCCAAGCTGTTAGAATCCAAAATTTAGAATTTGAGTTGGAAACAAGAAGAAGATGAAAAGCTTAATGCAAGGTGTGAGTTTCCCTATCAGGTTTACCTTATTAAAGGTTCTACTCAACCACGTATACTAAATGGAGGAGAGCAGAGCCGTCCTAATGCAAATTGAATTTAAAGTTCTTTGTGATTTTTCATATTTCGTTGGAATGTGAACTTCTTTTTAGATACATGTTCTTAAAAATAAATTAAGGCAACCTAAAATAATTATTTGAAAAAAAATTGAGGCTAAAACTCTTCAAAAAAAAAAATAATAATAACTAAAACGATAGCTTTATTGATGATAAAAACTTAACTCGAATACAAATTTTGATAGAGTACATCCCTTATAACAATCAGGGGCTCCTCAAACCATAATTTAGAATCAACTCCATATAAGCCTGACTTCGTAAAAGCGATAAGCTACTCCATTACAATTCTATGGAATATACGAAAACTAATTTAATATAGTTGACGTGCTAAATTTTAGCACTACGGGGTTGGAAAAAAAAATATAATTTCGAAGCTAAAATTTGTTTTTATTGTCCCAAAAGTGGTTTTAGCAACTCCACGTTGGAGATATCTTAGAACCTGTTAAAAAATGTAGTAAGAAGGGAAATCCTATGGATTCGGAAGTACTTTTTTTAGAAGACTAGAAATCTGAATAATTGATTAGGTTTGTTATCTCATGAGGGTTAACACTTGACATGTGTTTAAGTTAGGGATGACAAAAGCCTCACAGGTTCGGTACCTTGTGGATACCCGACCCTAATGGCGCGGGAGGAGAATCTCCAGTTAAAAAACATGGTTATGAATCTGGTTATAAGGAGAAAAATCACTATCGGAGATGGGGAATGGAAGGGGCACTCCAACCCTGCCCGTCCTGTTGCCATCCCTAGTTTCACTTCAACATTTATTTATTATTTATTTATTTTTAATACGTACATAAGTGGTAGCAGTGGAGATATTTTCAATGTAAATCAGGACTATATAAATAGTGGGATATGTGTGTTAAAATGATGCGTTTTTGCTCATTCACACTTGGTGTATGCTCACCATACAACTTATTAGCTGCCATGTGTCCCTTCTTCTAACCCTAGTTACTTGTTAATTATATATATCATTTTCAATTTTTAAAACTAATTTTAACCATTAAACTTAAAAATAAATAAATAACTCAAACCTTGCCCAGGCCCAGCAGTGTTTCGTTCCCCACCCACGCCAACCATTCAATTGATTCTTCAAAGTTCCACCCAGCCAATCTTCTTCTTCGGGTGCATGGCGAATTTACCATGACTTCGTTCTCCGCCCTCCCTTCTTTTTCTTCCACTGTAACAACAGCCGGAGACCACCACGAAGGTTGCGCCTTTGCAACCATGAAATTCCATAGCAACCTCACCTAAAGAATCAACCCTTTCTATTTCTTGTGAGGATATTTCTGTGCACGTACGATTTGATTATCCAATTTGGGATTATTTTCTTGGCGAGGACATTTGTTGGGTTTCTTTATAAACTAAAATAAAATTAGAGTTACAGTGCAAGAAGGAGAACGGAGACATGGTGATTCACCATGGCACGAAGAAGATTGGCTGGGTAGGGGTAGACTTTGAAGAATCAATTGAAGGGGTGGCGTGGATGGGTAGTTGTTTTTGGTGTTTGGCTGGGTGGGGAACTTGAAGGGTTTCAGTTTTTATTTTTAATTTTTAATTTTAATGTTTAAAATTAGTTTTAAAAATTGAAAATAATATATTTAATTAGCAAGTAACTAAGGTTAGAAGGATGGACACATGGCACCGAATAAGGTGTATGGTGAGCATACCCTAAAGTTAATGTGAGTGAACAAAAAATGCACCCGTGTTAAAAAATTAATAACTTAAAAAATAAAATTTTTCACTACTTACATAAAAACATTTAATGTACCACTCATGTTCCCATTATCATAA